TTTACCTGAGCTAACAAGACAAACAGCATGTTTTATAATTATTGCTTCCATGCTTTGTATACCCTGTTCCTTAGAGTAAATCTTTTACTGCCCCTCACCCATTTACTTGCATGTATCACATTTTCAATAAAAAGGCACGATGATTCCTAGCAGTTGTCACTCCTCAGAGAGTGATCTTTGAGGGGTGTCCGGCATAGGACGTGCATGAAAAGGCACCGAAGTCTTTGTCTTCTGTTCACCTTCGCTGCCTCCATTGAGCCAACCCACCCCCGCCGAGGCTGGACCTTGGCAGTGTTTGAAGGCTGGTAGGCAGGAAGTGTTCAATAAACCCCTGATTTACTAGCATACTAACAAATATTTTAATTCAAGTTACTTAAAAAAATAAACAGCCTCACTGTAACTTTTCTAAGTTGTACCTGATGATTAGGTAAACAAACAGAAAAGTTAATGTCAGGGGCCAAATGGTGGCTCAGCAATGAAACACAATGCTCCCCAGGGCAACCCCACACAGGCAGGTTCCTGGTTCACATCTGGAGACTTCCCTGAGTAGGCCAGCCACATACATACCCATGATCTGGGACTGGCTGAAGGCTGAGGGTGGATCACAGACTGAAAATCGGTTGGGGGTGCTATTGCTCTCTCTCTCTCTCTCTCTCTCTTTTTTTCTCTTTCACTCATGGAAGAAACAAACTTTAACAAAAACATACAAATAGCCACAAGACATATGATAAAATGTTCAGCACTGGGGCCAGCAGGTGGCATGATGGTTAAAGCACTGGACTCCTACATGGCTGACCACAGTTCAAGTCCTGAACACAGTGGCTTGAAAATAATGCCAGGTGCATGTGCATGCGCATCCGAGATCTCAGGAGAATAGAGACTGCAGCGTGGCTATCCCCCCTGGGGAGTGACTTCTCACTTTCTCACTGTCTCTGTCTCTCTCACCCCCTGGTTTTTGCCCTATGGCAAAAATCCATAAAAATTTTTAAAAACTCAAAGTTGAAGTCAAAACATAAGGTTTTATGGATTCTTTGATCTGATAGGAGGTAAAAAATACTCAAACACAAACTACCTTATTCCTTTCTTCCAAGCTAAGTGCTTCTCCCAACTTGTTACTTTCTTTTTTACTACAGGGCATGTGCACTCACAAGAGAAAGAGAAATCAACCCCCAAGGGATGACCATGTTGCAATCTCTTCTCCTCCAATCTCTTCTCGGGATTTTAAGCATACATGCACGTGTGTCTGGTGTGATTTTCAAGCCGCTGGGTCCATTGACTCGGACTGTACAGTCAGTCATGTGAGATCCAGTCACCTTAATCTCCATGCCTCCTGATGGCCCTCTCCCAAATTTTTAACCTACATTCTTCTACTTTTGCTTCTTTTAACCACCTTTCTGATTTCCGTCAAAGGCAACCTATTTTTAAGCTGCCAAGTCTGGGACTAGACCTACAGACAGCCATGTAGGTGTCCAGTGATCTAACCATTACACCATCTGCTGGCCCCATGTCCCTTCCTTTATAAATATCCCCAAATTTAAAAATTAAAAGTCATTTTTTAGGGATCAGCAGGTGGCATGCTGGTTAAGATGCTGCACACTCCCACATGGCTGACCATGGTTCAAGTCCTGGACCTGGCAGCCTGCTTTCTCACTTTTTCCCTCTCTCTCTGGTCAAATTAAAATAAATGAATAAATAAACAAAATAAAATAAAGTCTTTTTTTTTCCCCAAAAAAATATGCTAGAGGACACATGTACTTTTCAGAGAGAGAGAGATAGAGAGGACAAAGCACCCCGCCACAGGTCTTGGTCATGCCTATGCCACAATCCCTTCTTCTCCTTCTCCCACCTTTTGGGATTCTGAACACTCACACGCACATGCCCCATTGTTTCTCAAGCTGTGAGGTCCAGGACTCGAAAAGCTCAGTCAGCCCTGTGGCATCTAGCTGCCTTAACCACCAGGCCATGGGCTGGCTCCAAAATTAATTTTCTTCAATGCTATTTATTTGAAATATGCCATAGCTACTTATTGTCTACTGAGTGAATATATTAGATTATTAAGAAAGTTATAGCTTTTTCTATGCAAAAATGCATCATGACTTTTCTGACAACTCAACATTTATACATTAAATACACACACACACACACACACACACACACACGCACACAATATACCTCCTTTGTATATTAGCAAGCATTCAAAATCTTGTCAATCCATTTAATGATAAATTCCCAAGTCTCTAGTGACAACACAATAGAGATTGCTGGCATTCTAGAATAATTCTGATCTTTGTGGGCTAGCAGATGACTGATCTACCCAGAGGACTACAAACACAGAACACAATAATTTATGCTGTGTTTTTCTGATTTCAAATGGAACTATGTTCCAGACTCATTCTGTTCTAATTCTTTATGTGTCTTCCCCTTCCTACCAATCACATGGTCTTGTTGAAAGTCATGTGGGACCAGAGATAAATAATTGTTCCCTCAGAGAGACCTGTTTTTTATATTCAGTGTGAGTGAGTCCCATGCTATTTTTGCTCTTATAGTACCAGCATTTCAGCGAAGGTTTGTTTGCTCATTCTGTCCCTTACAGAATGACAGAACAAAGGTCAGAATTTAACTAAAAAAAACTTTGACTACTTACTTGGTGAAGTTGTCTGAGGGATCCTCTCACCTGGGTATTTCTCCTGCATGGCCATCAGTTATTTGGACCAACTGTGGAATAAAGAATAGCCAGTCAGATCTCTACGAGAGCTTTAATTTACTATAACTCAGTTCTCATTGAAATAAAACTGTCAAAACCAGAGAGTGTTCAAGTATCCATTCACTTTTTTTGTTTTGTTTGTGTTTTTCATTTGCTAAAGGGCACATGCAATCTCTGGAAAGGGAGAGAAAAAATGAGAAAGCTCCCCCTAGGGAGGATGGCCATACCACAATCTCCTCTCCTCCATTCTCCTCTTGGGATTTTTGGACAAGCACACACACCCACCACGTTTTTCTAAGCCACGGAGTCCAGTACTCAAATTGCAGCTCGCCATGAGGGATCCAGCCATCTTAACCAATACGCCACTTGACTGGCCCCTCAGGGGCTTTTTACTTCTAAGGATATTTTTAAAGGCAAAACAACTTCCAATACTCCACCCTGCTTCTCTTCATAAAGCAAGAAGCGAAAACCTGGAACTAAAGAGAGATTCCAAAATACAGATCTCATATGGTCTTAGAATCATCTCATTGTTTCTAAATGCAAAAACAGGCCCAGCCTCTGTAGTGTAGTTGGTAGTGTACCAGACTGCAGAGCCAGAAGCCACATGCTATCTACAGTTTCAGTCCTCAGCCCAGTTAGCTTGAAAACATGCTGGACATATGCGTACATGAGTGCTGAACGTGTATGGATCCTAGCATGCTGGAGGATGAAGGAAGGGCTTGCAGCATGATTGAGCCCTACTATGGAAAGGGTGTTTCTCTCTCTCATGTGTACACACGTACTCTGTTATGAATAATCATTTTAAGAAACTTTTTAAAATTCAAAAATATTACTTTCAATTAAGAAACTGTGCCAAGGATCTTCTTAGCCACAGGGACATGAAAGAAGGGTGGGATGGGGAAAGAACTAAAGAATCAAATCTTCAATGAAGGTGTTGTTTTTGTTTTGTTTTTAGTGATAGTGTCAGCCATGTGGCTTCCTGTACTATAGTCCAATATACTAAGGCCTGTGCCGCCTGGACTGTGCCACAGGGCTGGGCTGTATGGTACAGTAGTATAGCCTCAGTGATGATTAACCTAAAACAAATTCCTAGATTCTGCCAGTAATGAAAGTTAGGATGACACAACAGCAAAACACAATGTTTTATGAAGGAGAACCACTTGGGAACGCTACGGGTTTGCATCTAGAGACCTCCCCGAGAGTGCCAGACCAGTAATTCAGAGTGGCAGAAGCTAAGGGATGGAGTGCAGTGTCAAAACCATGTTAGAGGAGCCAGCAGGTAGCATTATGATTAAGGTGCTGGACTCCTACATGGTCGACCATGGTTCAAGTCCTGGACCTGGCAGCTTGTTTTCTCACTATCCCTTTCCCTTGTTCTCTGGTCAAATTAAAAATGACAAAAAACATAATTAAATAAATAAAACAAATAATTTTAAAAAATAAACAAACAAACAAACACCACCCTGTCAGAGGTGTTTTTTCTGGCTCGCTCATGAGATAAACAGCAAAAAAGAACCGACTGTTTTTTTTTCCTTCTTTCATCATCATAGGGCATGAAAAAGGACACTCTCCTAATACAGTGTGGCCCTATCACAGTCCCTTTGCTCCCATTATCTATCCCATCAGGATTTGGGGCACACATGCATATATGTCCAGTATGTACTTCAAGCTACCAAGGCCTGGATTTGAACTACATGGGATTTGCCTCTTTATGCACCATTTTATCTCTATGCTATGGGGCCGGCTACTAGGACTAATGGTATTTTTAAAGAAAAAGTCAGTCATGTGATGCAGAGATCGAACTCTTGGTCACAAACAGAATCCCAATTCTGAGCTGGACCAGGTTTCCTTCCCCTATTTAGGGGCCAACAGGTAGTGTGGTGGTTAAGGTGGTGGACTCCCACATAGTTGACCACAGTTCATGTCCTGGACATAGTGACTTGAAAAATCGTACTAGGCACATTTGTGTTCATGCTCAAAATCCCAGGAGGGAAATGGAGAAGGAATGTGGCATGGCCAATGCCCCTGGGAGTAATTTCTCACCTTCTCCAGAGAAATCAAAATCACTCCCCCACGGGGAATGGGCATGCAGAAATCCCTTCACTTCCATTCTCCTCTCAGGATTTTAGGTATGCACACATGTACACAGTATATTTTCAAGCTGCAGGGTCTGGGACTTGAACTGTGAATTGGCCATGTGGGAGCCAGCTGTCTTAGTCTCCACGTTACCTGCTGTCCTGAGAGCACGAACTCCTATTTTATGAAGTATATTTATTTTATTTCTTTCATAAAAGATAGACAGGCACCCTTGATAAGGTCTCCACTCTCCGTAATCCCCACCACCCTAGCCAGTCAGCCAGGATCACAGACACTCAAGTGCACCAAGCATATTTCAGGGCAAGATCTGAACCACAGCCTTCCGTGTGCTCCAGCATTACAGAGCAGTATGGTACTGCCAACGTTACTGCCACTATGGCCGGGCCCTGAGCACAGACTCTTGCTCAAATCTGTTGGATGTGATGCTGGAACAAATAAACTTGAACACACTAAACTTCCAGTTACCAATTTATTAGCTGTGTAACTTTAGGCAGACATCTTACTATCTCTGTACCTCAGTTTCTTCACATAAAAATGAGAATAAATACATGACCTAATTCACACTAAGTCATTTATAATTAACTTACATCAGTGCCTGACACATATTAAGTGCTTACTTAATGTTTTTGTTATTACTTGGCAGTTTATGTCAATAAAAAGTGGTACAGGGAATGTAGCAGAGCAGTAAAACTCAGTGCTCTGCAAGGCTGACCCACATGGGAAGGTTCTGGGCTCCTATCAGAAACCCCCTGAGTATACTGGGCACTGCTGTACCTATGATCTAGGGCTGGCTGAAGCTGGAAGTGGATGTGGCATCAACACCTTGTTGGGGGTTCTCTCTCTCTCTCTCTCTCTCACTCTCCAGTTCATGAAAGAAACACTTTTTTTAGTTTTTTTGGGGGGTCATAGGTCATGTGCACTCACTGAAGAGAAAGATACAGAGAGGGTGAGAAATCGCCCCCTCCAAGGGTGATGTCCATGCCGCAATGCCTTCTCCTCCATTTTCTCTCAGGATTCTGTGCACGCAATCCCAGAAAAAATTCCTAATGTAATTTTTTTTTTTTTTGGAGAGTTTTTTGCTATAGGGCGTGTGCACTCGCCAGACAGACAGAGAAAGACAGAGAGATAGAAAGCAAGAAATCACCCCCCCAGGGGGGATGGCCACGCTGCAATCCCTTCTCCTCCATTCTCCTCTCGGAATCTTGGGCACGCATGCACACGCACCCGGCGTGAGTTTAAGCCACCGGGTCCGGGACTCAAACTGCGGTCGACTACGTGAGAATCCAGCGACATAGCCATTACACTAACTGCTGGTCCCCCAATGTAATTTTTAAGCCTCCAGTCCGGGACTTGAACCGCGGCCAGTCATGTGGGAGTTCAGAGCCATAATCACCACACTATCTGCTGGCCCCAGAATAAACTTAAAAAAAAAAAAAAAAAAGGTGGGGCCAGCTCTGTAGCACAATGGTGACACACTGCTCAGGGGGAGCCAAGTCTCACATGACGACCACAGTCTAGGTCCCTGGTCTAGTCCTCCTGGAGCCTGTTGGTGCCAGGACTGGAAGGAGGGACCAGATCGTGTGGTAGGTGCTCTCACTGTGTATACATGCACTCCATCATGAATAGAGAGAAAAAGACAAGGCAGAGCATAGTCCCTGAAAGCATAAAATTTAGAAACCTTGAATTTTAAGAGTCCCCCAAAAGTCTGGACAATTCATAGAAAACAATGCTTACAGGGTGGTATGGTTTGAATGTGTCCCACCAAAACAAATGTGGTGAGGGGACAGCCCTATAGCTCACCTATAGGTCCAGTTATAGCTCAGTGGGTAGGCTTTGTGGAAAGAGAGCAGTCTGAAACCTGGCCTAGCTCAAAGCCTGGCGCAGCTAGCATAACATGCAGGAAAAACGTGCATGTGTGCCCAGGATCCTCAAGGTATAAAAAAACAGAAGAACAGAAACTGTGCTGTAACCAAGCTCATTGAAAGGAGCTTTCTCTCTCTCTCCCCTGCCAGGGTGTGTACACACACTCTATGGCATTAAAAAAATTTGGTGAGCAACTGAGACGGTAGTAAGCGGGAAAAATGTTAATCTGACTATGAGATTAAGAGGTACCATGGGATTAAGAGGTGGAGCTTTATGAGGGTCAGCTCCATAGTATGGTCTTTGAACACTGCACACAGTTCGAATCCTGTCACCAGCAGTTAAAAAAAAAAAATGCCAGGAGGACCAGCAGGTGGCATAATGGCTACGTTGTTGGACTCCCATGTAGTCGACCACGGTTCAAGTCTCGGACCCAGTGGCTTAAACTCAACGCCAGGCATGTGTGTGTGTGCCCGAGATCCCGGGAGGAAAATGGAGGGGAAGGGATTGCAGCATGGCCATCCCCCCGGGGCGTGATTTCTCGCTTTCTGTCTCTCTGTCTCTGTCTTTCTGGAAAGCGCACGCACCCTATAGCAAAAATCTTTCCAAAAAGAAAAGAAAAGAAAAGAAAAGAAAAGAAAAACATGTCAGGTACATGTGTGTGCGCTCAAATTCCTGATGGGATAGAGAAATGGAGGAAAAATTATTGCAACATGACCATATCTTGTTGGGGGTGCTTTCTCACCGTCTCTGAAAATTGCATGTGCCATCTGGCAATTAAAAAAAAAAAAAAAAGAGAGAGAGAGGTAGCGCCTTTAAGAGGTGATTAGGATTGGGTAAAGTTATCAAGATGAGGTCTCCCCACCTGAATTCTGGTGGATTTATAAGGAATAAAACAGCAATATACTCTACATGTGCTCCTGCCCTCCACCATGTGATGCTACAAGAAGACCCTCACCATATGTCAACACCACCTCTTGGACTTCTCACTCTCCAAAACTATAAACTACATAAATCTCTGTTCTTTATAAAATTAGAGTATTTTTTGGAGAGG